TCTATCTATCTATCTATCTATCTATCTATCTATCTATCTATCTATCTGTATTTATTATTTTTACAAATAACTCAGGGCGGCAGATATACTCAAGACACCTTCCTCCTCTTCTTTTCCGTATAACAACAGCTCTGTGAGGTCAATTGGAATGAGAGAGTGACTGGCCCAAGGTCACCTAGCTGGTTTTGGGGCTAAAGCGGGGCTTGAACTCATGATTTCTATCTTTCTAGCTGGTTCCTTAACCACTGGCTAGGCCAAACTGGCTACACATTAACAAAAAGTATATTATTCTTGTTCTTAATGATATAAAGACAATTTTGGAGGAAAGGTGACTCCTGGTGACTACATGGTTATAACTGATGAGTTTTCTTGACAAAAAAACATGGAAGTGGTTTCCTTTGACTTCTGGAATGTTTCTTCAAGTTCCAGTCTAACTAGCCTCTAGTATTCCTTCTTAAACTAATCAAACCTGACCTGGTGACTTTCCAAGTCTAGACAAGATGAATAAGGTCCTGTTACCTATACTGAGACCATAGGTACGATAGAGCTAGTCAACCGTTGAAATAAATAAATGATTGATTTGGTTTCATTTGAAAACTCCCCTGAGACATTTTACTTTTACTAGCATCTTTGTAGTATGCCTCTTCATTTTCTTCCTTACTTTCTGGGATCCTGGAACAGACCAGCTGTTGTGTGTTTCTTCTCTGATACTCAAAACTATTCAATTATATGTTAAGTATCTGTGCGTGTGTGTTGTTGTTGTTGTTGTTTCTATTTCTACTTTGAATTAAATAAAATACCAAGGAAAAATGCTTAACTGAGATATTGTAATATATTCTGCAACCTAGAATATATTTTGCTACCTAAATATTGGTTCCCCCCCCCCCCAAAAGAATAATCTTGCTCTCTTAACACAGTTAATTTGTAAAACCTGGCTTTTCCCTGCTTTCGAGAGCCCTCCCATGCACCCATGAACTCCCAAATTCCACTGTGTCATTAATTCAAAGGTTGACTGAAGAAGCTGAATTATTTAACACTTTAAATAAAAAGAATAAACTGAAAATTGAGGGGTCAAAGGGAGAGAATTAATTAGAAAAGTGAGTTGATTTTCCCATTGGTGCAACCACTAGAACCAAATTCACCTTAACCCTCTCTCATTCAGATCAGACTTTAATATGCTCACTCCAAACTTCTATTTCTAAGTCTGAGGCTCTTTAAAAGGTCATAAGTTTTGCAAGAATCTTCCATTCAAAGTGCGGGCTTAGGATATCAGCATTCCAGGTATGGGTACTTAATTCTTAGCCTCTACAAAAGCTTTAGGGTTGTTCTTTTCTGATGTTCAAGAAAGAAAATTGTACTTTTTGCAATTTCCAAAATGCACATACAGAAATAGAACAAAAGTTGGACTGTCCATGATTTGAAATTATTCAGGTATGTGTAGATGCCTAAGATCTCCTGTAATTATTAATTGATGGGCGGTGAGAAAGTTGTGCACGCCCCCTACAGACTCCTTAGGAGAGGGGTGAGGTCAATAGTAGACAGTCTAAGGTTAAAGTTTTTGGGGTTTGGGGAAGAAACCACAGAGTCAGGTAGAGTATTCCAGACATTGACCATTCTGTTGCTGAAGTCGTATTTCCTGCAATCAAGTTTGGTGCGGTTAACCTTGAGTTTGTATCTATTGTGTGCTCTTGTGTTGTTATGGTTGAAGCTGAAGTATTCATTGACAGGTAGGACATTGCAATGTATGATTTTATATACCATACTTAGATCAGACCAAAGACGGCGTAATTCAAAGTTTTCTAGGTCTAGAATTTCAAGTCTGGTGGCATAAGGTTGTCTTGTGTTGCACGGAGTTACCCTATCTCAGCTTCTAGATAACTTTACCTGGATGACAGAGAATCTTCATCTTCCTAGAAATATATTAAGTCTGAAATAAAATGATTTATTATTTCCATGCGTATTTTTTATTTTATTTGTTTGTCAAACATGTACAAGGTAACAAATATAGATATGAACATAAACATGAACAAAGGAAATAAATATAGATAAATGGGGACAGTAACTGTAAGATTCTGCACTGTTTTGTCCACAGAATACTCAAGATGTCAAATAATTTAAAATAAAATAATTTAAGAAATCCTTCAAACCACAGTTAATTTGTTTATTAGTATAGCTGAAAAAGCCAGGCTGAAATGAAAGCAGAACAAGTGGGGCTAAATCTTACTGTTCTCAGAGTGCATTTGGAGTGATGATGATTATGAAAACCATGTGACTGTACTCTTCCAAAGTCACACTTGAGTCCTTTAGATTTCACAGCAGCTTCCACGTGTCCCTTTGAGCAAGAAGTTTCTCTGGCAAAATAAACCATTGAATTTTTATCATTCCCCTTTTTCAAACAATGCTCTTCTGCAGACCACCACAAATGGTGACCCACTAAGGTTTATGAAATGGATTGGTTCAGTTATTTAAAAGATTTACAAGCCACAGGGTAAGTGTTTATTAGATTGTTGAAAACACTTGTGTCCTTACAGTCTCACATGAATAGCAAAATAAAGAAGTTGATCTGTTCCAAATTGGCGATCATAATTAGATGGTGATTAGATTAGGTTTGTAAATTAGAAGCTTCACAGACCTATCCTAAGGTGATGTCTTTTCAGGTAGGAAAATACCTTCGGGATCCAACTCACACATTTAAAATTATGTTCTCTCCTGCTTTTTGCCCACAGTCACACTTTCTTACACATTCTATGACAAGTTATTAGTTATTTCCATAACCCTATTAACATTCAAAACTTTGAGAGCAATTCCCCCATTAACACTGGCCTTTCCTATACAATCAAAAATTAATAAATGGATATTGTGTGATATTAAGAGGTTCCTAGTCCTAGTTTTTATTTGGCTCGCAGTTTGGGAAAGGCTGTGCTGTTTACAGATCTTGTTGAGAAATTACTTCAAAGATCAGCTCTTCACCCTTCAGACTGTTGTGGCTTTTCTAATTTGTCGCATAATTGTGGGGCAGGCACTAACAGCTAAAACATCCATCAAATTAATCAGTACCTTTCACTCTTTGGAGGGGAAAATGTAAGAACATCTCTGTGCAAAATAAACTTAGCTAGCAATGACAGGAGAACTATCAGAAGTAACTCAGTTCTTTTTATGAAATTGATTGGGTGGCACCTCTTCTATTAGTAACAGATGACTACTGAAGTTAGTAATAGTGAAGTTCTCTGAAGTTGTGACAAATTATCTTTAGAGGTTCCAGAGTCTTTTTTAAACTTTGAGAAATGGAGCAGAATATTCATTTCCCCTTTCAGAATATTATTTCACTGACTCTTGTATCAGTATTTTTTTTTCAGTTGTCTTTTGCCTAAGCAATAGAACTTCCTTAGGTTAATTCTGATGCAAGTAGTCTCAATTGAGAGACCATTTACAATTACACTAGTGATGAAAAAGGACAGGTCCTTATACTTACAACTGTCATAGTATCCCTGCAGTTGTGTGTTTGAGATTCAGGTACTTCACAATTGGTGGGTGATTATAACCATTGCATCATCCTTCGGTCATGTGACCGTCCTTTGCACACTTCACAGCCAGTGTTTTTTTTTTGTATATAATTCTTATTAAAACTTTTACATAAGAGTAGTCAATAGAAAAGTAAAATCACCAGTGTGTGGTCATGTCATGCCTTGTTTAACAACCATGGCACAATGAGGTCATAACTCCATTGGGGTCATGCAATTTCTCACTTAATGATTGCATTGCTTAATAATGGAGTTGATGGTTTAATTTGGGGATCATTATCTTTACAGTGTGTGCAGTTCTAATTTCTGGATTACTAGGAAAACAACTAGGAGATCATTCTGAGCAAATTGTGCTACCCTGACTTTTCAATACCTATAGTTTCTCATTATTTTCTGAATGAACTTGCAAATCAT